CCCGTCTCGGCCTCCCAAAGTGCTGGGATTACAGGCTTGAGCCACCGCGCCCGGCCAAAAATTTCTTGAGTAATATCCCACAAGTACAGACAACCAAAGCAAAAATGGACAAATGGGATTACACCAAGTTCTAAAGCTTCTGCACAGCAAAAGAAACAATCAACAAAGTGAAGAGACAACCCACCAAAGGGGAGTAAATACTTGCAAACCACCCCTCTGACAAGGGATTGATAACCAGAATATACAAAGAGCTTAAACAAGTGTGTAGAAAGAAACCTAATAATCCAATTTTTTTAAATAGGCAAAAATTTTATATGGACATTTCTCAAAAGAAAGCATACAAATGTCCAACAGGCATATGAAAATGTGCTCAATATCATTGATCATCAGAGAAATGCAAATCAAAGATACAATTAGATATCATCTTACCCCAGATAAAATGGGTTTTATCCAAAAGTCAGATAATAATAAATGCTGGCAAGGGTGTGGAGGAAAGGAAACCCCTGTACACTGTTGGTGAGCATGTAAGTTAGTAAAACCGCTGTGGAGAACAGTTCAGAGGTTCCTTGAAAAATTAAAAATAGAGCTAGCATATGATCCAGCAATCCCACTGCTGTATTGTATACCCGAAAGAAAGGAAATCAGTATACCGAGGAGATGTCTGCACTCCCATGTTTGTTGCAGCACTGTTCACAATAGCCAGGATTTGGAAGCAAGCTAAGTGTCTATCAGCAGAAGAATGGATAGAGAAAGTGTTGTACTTATACACAATGGAGTAAGATTTAGCCATAAACATGAATGAGATTCCGTCATTTCTGACAACATGGATGGAACTGGATGTCATTATGTTAAGTGAAGTAAGCCAGACACAGAAAAGACAAACATTGCATGTTCTCACTTTTTTTGTGGGATCTAAAATTCAAATAACTGAACTCATGGAGATAGAGAGTAGAGGGATGGTTACCAGAGGCTGTGAAGGGTAATGAGGGGTTGGGGAGGAGGTGAGGATTGTCAATGGGTCTCAAAAAAAAAGTAGCTAGAAAGAATGAATAGGCCAGGCGCGGTGGCTCACGCCTGTAATCCCAACACTTTGGGAGGTGAGGCAGGTGGATCCCCTGAGGTCAGGAGTTCAAGATCAGCCTGGCCAACATGGTGAAACCCTGGCTCTACTAAAAATACAAAAAAAATTAGCCGGGTGTGGTGGTGCACACCTGTAGTCAAAGCTACTCAGGGAGGCTGAGGCAGAAGAATTACTTGAACCCGGGAAGCAGAGGTTGCAGTGAGCCGAGATTGCACCACTGCACTCCAGCCTGGGTGACAGAGTGAAACTCTGTCTCAAAAAAAAAAAAAAAA